GGGGCGGAAGGTGAGCTTGGGCACTGATGGACTCAAGCTGGCAGATAGGTGGAAATATGGTGGAAAGTGTCTGCCTTCCATGACTTTTTCAGAAGGACATTACTGCTTCACGTGACACTGTGTAGTGCAGTGCAGACCGACAGATAACGACTGGCGCCCTCGGCACCCCTTCCAATGGCCTGTGACACTGCCGGACAAGCTATCGCTACTGTGGTAAGAAGACGGATTCGGGTCATTCAGCTATGAAGTGCCTGTCGTTGTAGCTGTCGTACATGCAGAAGAGATGTCATTCATTGATTGTGGCGATGGGGACGCGAAGAGCGTGCGGACGGGTACTCTGTATTAGTCAGGCTGCCTTTCTGCAACATGTCGTGTCTTTCCGTCCGTCTCCTCAGTGGCCGTCAGTGCCTTCCTCTGCTATGTCGCCCTCCTATCAACCGGCGGCTCTTTACTCTTTTGTCTGTCTTCACTGTTGGTCTGTCGTATGACTCTCTGTCGGTCGTGGACATACGTCTCGCTAGTGCCGTTGTCGTGGTGTTCGTCTATCTATCTGACAGGCAATTACAGACAGAGACTAAGGACTCATGGAATGTGTGTGTCACTTGGCGGGCTGCTGACACACAGGTAGCAGATGCGTGTCTGGCCGCCTGCGTCAAGCGGCTGGAGCCACACCTGCTGATGGACGACATGCCGGATGACCCCACACACACACAGGTATTGACACACAGACACAGACACGCACACGGCGCACACCCGTGCAGCGCCGACCTGCCTGTCTGTCTGACTCTGTGTGTGCAGGTGGTGTGTGGTGCTGTTCACTGCTGCCGGCATGAACACCCACGGCCGCCTGTTCTCACAATTGTGTTCTCATTCGCCAAATACCTCTAGCTGTCGAATGGTTTTTCTATGTCTGTCTGTCTGTCTGTCTGTCCGTCTGTATATCTGTCTACCTGTGCAGTTCTTGTCGATTTGTCACATCGATTTGGTCGGGTGCGATGTCCGCCTGCTGGCTGCCATGGCCGTCTACGTCACACGCAAGGCCAACCAGAGCCAAATAGCGATTCGCATCATGTGTCATGGCCTGTGTGTCCGATTGTTCATTGTCAGAGTGCGGCCCTTGTGAGTCAGATTTCGGTGAGTGAGGCGGCGTTGGAGTGTAACATGACGGCGTTGAGCATGCAGCGGCTCATGTGGGGCGACACACAGATTACCAAAGGGGTGAGCATGTCAGAAGACCAGTAGAATCGCCAACACAGCACTGTATTGATGTCATTGTGTCTCGTTTGTGTGGCGCGCGTGGCGCGCGCAGATACGGTGCCTCGCCTGGCCGCCACGGCGTCGCATCGACCCGCAGCCACCCGCAGCAAGAGCAGCATCAGCAGCAGGTGCGTCTGACACAACCGACCGCCATGCACCAGATATGGCTTGAGTATCGATCTGCTTTGTTACGTGTGTGTGCGATCTGCAGGCGGGCAACCAGGAGCACCCCGTCAACCACTTGTTTGTCGGGAGCCGAGGCCATCTGCCCGACATTGTCATGGCGGCCCGCCTCAGGGCCACATCGGGGCGCCACAAATCGCTTTGTCAGGCCAATCGGTGGATGGTGCTGTATCTGGCCCTCCCCCCTTCTCTCCCTCCCTCTATACGTGTCGATTGTATCTGTGCGTCCTGCGGGTTGCCTAAGTGTGGGTGTGAGTGCCGCGGACAATGGGGGACTGACTGTCTGGGTCACTTCTCAATCATTGTGTGCTTGTACAGCCCCCTCCCTCGTTGTGTGGATGGAGTCGGTGTACCCGCATGTGTGCCGTGACGGACAGGAGACGAATTCATCAATATGTCAACTGAGATATACGCAGTGTCCCCTCAATTGTCTGCAGTGACCCCCAAGTTCGTCAATGCAGACAACACACTTTTAGACAGCCTGTCTGGCTGTACGCCTCCTGTTGAGCTACTGACATACCCACATACACACACTGCCACGTGTCAGAATGCGCGTGACGGCCATCGGCTCACCTGCCGATAGAGAGGGCGGCAATGCGGCTCAACGAAACATCAACACACCTGCCAGGCAGACACAGGAGCACCCAGACGAGCAGATCTATGCTGCGTGACGGCCGGAGGGTTTCTCTTCTTGGGTTCAGGGTTTCTTGACCCAAGACTTCGCTCCGCGACGAGGCCGCCTCGTCGCTCAGAGATCACACCATCCTGACCGCTGCAGAGCACCTGATCTGTCGATGCCCATCTGACTCCCCCGGATCTGCGTAAAGAGAAACTTCACGCACGGCTCTCCGCAACGGAGCGGCCTCGCCGGCCGCCGACCACACTGTGAGACTCGCCTACCTCCGCTGGACTGACACATCGCTGTTCCTCCCGAACCGTGCGCTGGTCCGCAAGAACTGGAACATTTCTTGTCAGAAGTGCAAGTCGGTCCAGGGTTTAGGGTCTAGGGTTCATAGACCGACGATCCACTGATCTGTGAGACAGGACGGCTGTTGAGTCTTTGTCCGTTCCATGAGACAGGCCATGGCGGACAGGACGTCAGACAGGATGGACTGACGCATACTACATGTCCTACGTGGACTCTCCACAAAATCCACAGACCTTACGTTGCATTGACTTAATCCTTTATCCGGGACTGACCGCCCGGCAGATCCTCTCTTCACCATTCTCCCCGACTCTCTCCCACCTATTCTTACATGGGCGCAGCAATCTGGTTTGTCTTTTCCGCCTGATCGGCAGTTGGGCAGATCCTAACAGGTCTGTCTATCATCCGCCTGTCGGCAGTCTGTCTGTGCAGCAGCCTGTCA